TAAGCCAAGCCAATCGGGTTGTTGATGGTCTCAATCATAGTAAATCCTCATGTTAATTAACCACAAAATTCAATTAGATGCACTTTTCTATATATAGATTTTTTGTTCTTATCGTATGTCTGGCATGAGAATATACCTCGAAATACATCATGTATTTTTAATCATATCAGACATGAAATGTAACTATATATAGTAATTAACAAATTCAAATTTAGTAAGGGTATATAATAACAGAACTATCAGCATCATTCTCATCATTAAACTTTTTTTTCTCCAAAAAGAGAGGGATAATATTTTAATCTAATTGCACTAATGGAGTGTATTGGTCAACCGTTTAGAAAGAAAAAAAGAGAGACTATATAATAGTGATCTTATTTTGCAGTGTTCAAGTCACGGGGTGTTGTCAATCTACTCATATTATAACATATGTATTTGTTTATTAATCTAATATGTTACCAAATAAATTTACACCCCAAAATATAATAAGAGTACCTACAATCTTTTTGTAACCCCAAAATATAATACGAGTAAAATAGTAAAATTAACAAAACAAAATTAAAAAACTTTCAGAGAGGCTAGAAATGGAAAGGACAATTACCAAGCCCCTGGACCAAACTCAAATTGCACAAAAGGAAAGCACTCAAGCCCAACTAAAAAAATACAAATTTGAAGTTCCTATGGAAAGTGGAAAAATTAGTTAAAAGTAAGAAATAAATCTAGAGCTTAATTAATCAAGGGTAGGTACAAAATGTTTCATTTTTTATACAAAGAAACAACCTCTCGTATGCTAATGCCATCTTCGTTGCTGTAAACATGGAATTTGCATATTCCAAGCATGCCTTTCCTCTTTGTGCTGCCCTCTTCGGCCCTTCATTCACAGCCAATTCCAACGCTTCCAACAACGACTCCACGTTGGGAGAAAACATAAAACCATATTCATCATCCACAACTATAGTACCTTTGATGCTTGGAAACCTTGATGCCATAATTGACTTCCCGCTCATCATCGCCTCCGTGAGAGTTAGATCGATACCTTGTGGTCGAAGTGTAGGGTTCACAAAAATATCGATCGCGTTATAAAACGCATGTAACTTAGATAGACTCATAGAACCAAGTACTAGAACTCGATCAGACTTCAAATCTTTGTACCTTTGCTCCCATGGCCCGGAACCGGCCACGATCAAGTACACATTTGAAGGGTACTTAGCTATGAGCTTGGAGAATGCTTCATAAAGTATAGGATGACCTTTGTCCTTCACTAATCTTCCAACCACTCCAAATACTAAATTACTATAATTTTTTGGTATGCCAATTCTAGATCTAAACTCGTGGCCTACTTTACTATTTTGACCAAACTCAGCTTCATTTACACCGTTGACTATCACATGGACTCTTTTGTTTGGTATTTGGTATACATCCCTCAGCATCTCTCCACAGCTATCACTTGTAGCAACATGATGTGCATAGTTTTGGAAAAACCTAATCTCATTCAACACCTTTGGAACCGACCCTTGTATGCTTTTGTTGAAAGATGGGGACATAGGCTCCGTGCTAGGGTTACGTGCCAAGTCTTGGAAGATGTATGAGTGCAAGCTCTCTAGGGCTATGCCATGCCATGACACTGCAAGGTTTGGGAGGCCCCGGGCCAGCCAATGAGGAAGCGCCACGCTTTCGGAGTGAACCACGTCGAATTTTTCACGTTGGTTTTGCTCCAAAAATTGTTCCCATGCCTTGTTGTAACGCCAAATCCCGGGCTCACCCTTGTGGAAATGGATGAACGGTGATGAAGGACTTGGAGGATGATGTTTGATCAGCTCTTGTGGGGAGGTGAAGACATGGACTTGGTGGCCGAGGAGAGCAAGGGTTTTGTGTAGAGTGATGGCATGGCGTTCCATGCCTCCGGGGACGGTGCCAAGAGGCCATTTTTTGGAGAACACAGCGATTTTGAGGCGAGGGTGGTCTTGATGGTGAAGAAAGGAAAGGCGGTTCCATGAAAACTGAGCGGTACGAAGATCGCCGGACCACAGCTTGGGATGGGTGGGGAAAGTGGTGCAAATGGAAGTAGAGGTGGTGTATGTATGGAGGAGAAAAATAGCTGGGATGGTGAAGAGGACAATGAAGAAGAGAATGGTGCATAGTTTTGATGAAGAAAAGGAAAAGGGTTTCTTGGGTTTGTTGTAATTGGAGGCCATGAATGGGAAAATGAGGTTAGCTAACCTAGATGGAGATTTGGTTCTGCTCATATACTTTTGAATTTTATAATTTGTATGGGTGCGTAGTGGGGATTAAAAAAATGAATTTTTTGTTTTAAATTTGTTTGTTTGAAATGCTTTTTTATTTTATATTATATTGAAACGAAAACTATGGCGTATGTCTTCCAACTAACAACATTAGGAACGTGGTTGTCATTGCTTATTAATGTTTGACAAAAATAAACAAAAGTTTTCTTTTTGTTCTTTGAGATTACATAAATAGAAAATTTGGCATAAATCCAATTATGAGGAGAGATTTTGGGTGCAATCCACGCAGAAATTGTTGTTAATACAAGTCCTTTAACTTTTGCGTCACATAAGATTACATGCCTATTTACATTTATTGATATTTACTCTTTTTTTTTTTTTTTTGTTCCAGTTATGCACCTAAAACATAAATAAGGTAAATTATGAATTCCTAAAACTGGTAAGTTATTGATTTGTAAGATATTAATTATCATATTTGATTTGAATTTAATTGCAAATCTATTTATTGAATTCTGAAATTTTCTCAAGGTATACCGACATCAAAATTTGTAATAAGATTTCATAAAAACTTCATACCTTAACAATAGGTAAGGTACCTATGCATACACCTCGTATGCAGTATGCAGATAATTAAACCCATAAATTACCTCTGGTCCAGGTAATTAAATCCATAAATTACCTCTAGTCTAGGTAGTTATACCCTCTCGCCCAGCTAATTGAACTCATATAATATCTTGGTATGGATCTTTAAACTCAACTAAGATAAAAATCCATACAAAATTTATTTGGAAAAAAAAACACTATTACATCGAAGACATGTACATATGTATATAAATATGAACCTCCAGAAAAACTGCTTAAGAAAGCTCAAGAAAAAAATACTTACATGTATGTATTAACATTATTTACCTGTATGTCAGGCACATAATTTAATGTGGGTGCTTGTCTGATCGATTGGTATAATATGTGAGTCTTTACTTTTTATTGATTAAATTGTATTTTATCTATATATTAGGAATATTATCAAGGAAAAAAAATTCAAAATTTTGATTTCAATTTCAAGGAAATAATGCATTAAATTTAGATTTTCAATGTGTTTTCCTTATTTACCTTAAAGGGTAAAATCTACACAACAAAAAAGTAATAAATGTCAAAGGACCTATATCTAAAACCAAAAACACGAGGACTAGACCCAATGACAGCTAATCGTTTTGGACCTAGATCTAAGAACCCCTTACATAAACGACTATTGCAATTTTCGTGAAGAATATGTCAAATAAAGTAGGGCGTAAATATTTAGTTATGCTTGTATATGTTTATATATGTTCATTTCTAATATGGAGATATTTATAAGGAAGTACAATCCTAAATAAAATAAGAAATAAATTTAAATTACAATAGGACTTGCCAACAAAGTAATGATATATATAGTTGAAAGGCACTGTTGACATCATGAGCAGGCCAAAATGAAAAAGAACATTCAGAGCTACATGTCGTTTAATAAATCTTAACACCAACCATGCCATCGTTAAAGATCAAATTGAGGCTTTCTAATCTCTGTAAATAATAATTAGAACTCAAAAGTCTATCAATAAAAAAGAGTTTTGGTTTGTAGCTTTTTGTTTTCAAATTGTAAACAAGCTTTTTTTCTTTTATTTTTTGAAGGAATAATTGTATTCATAAATTAAATACAAAGATCAAAGTTACAAAGCTGAGTATAAATACTCACAAATGGGTAATACAAGGATGAAAACATAGCGAACGAGCTTCTTTATAACAAAACATGGTAATGAGTACATTAGTTAAAAATTTATCCTTCGTTAATACAAATATTAAGAATTGAAATTATTAATTAAATGCGGATAATATGGTAAATTCATAATTTTTTATATTTTAAAAAAATTAAAATTTAAAACAAACTCTAATAATAGTTCCTATTTTTATAGAACAAAACTACCTATTATATTTTTTAATTCTAAAATAAAATTAAAAAAAAAAAAAACCAATTGGCGTGTGTGTGTGAACTTGTGCCAAGGGGCTAGTAGCATTGAAAGAGAAAATAAAAAACAAACAAAAAAAACTTAAGAAAACTAGGAAGAGAAAGAAAAATTCGAGTGCCCAACCCGCCAAACCGCTGTCCCTCTCTCGTCTTCCCCAATCCGCATTGAGCCTTTCCCTTCCCTCTATTTCCTTTTTCTCCATTTTTTACCCCCTCATTCTCTCTACAACGACAAATTTGCCAAAATTGAATGTACAGGGCCAAAATTGAAATTTGGAAAAACTACTGAGTCAAAAATGAAATTTAGCAAAATATGAATAGCCTATCTACTCTAGATATCTGACACGTGTGCCCAAAAGGAGGCCGGATGCAGCCGTACGGTTGCTTAAAATTAAAAAGATACATCACGCACGTGCGACCAACACGCTTTCAAACGCAGAGCAAAACAAACGACTAAATCGGGGCCGTTAATTAAACCCCTGCCACACTCTCAGCCGTCCCATCCCGCTGCGCGTGAAGATTCCCAAATGAATCCTCTCTTCGATGCAAACGGCGAAAATGACCAAACGAGACAAACACAATAACGACGAAACATACGGCCAAGTTATAAGAAGAAATAAAAAATCTAATAACGAGAAAACCATTTTCGATGCTTGAAAAAGGGCGTTGCCATTTTCGTAAATTTGACCATTTTTAGGCCCTAATACGTAAACTTCCCCTCGCATTCTTTTTCACGACCAAGACCACGAAGCGCAGCACTTGCTATTAAGAGAGAGATAGCTTGGAGCCACACCCTCTCCCTCTTTAAACTCTTTACTGTCTATTTATCTTCAAAAAGGTACGCTCTGCAAAACCCTAGAAACCTTTCCTGTTTTATATTTTTAGTACTGCGAGGTTTAATTTAATTTTATGTAGGTAGTTATATGTATGGTGTATGCATAGGTTGTGTGTGAATGTGGAGTGGTGTTAATGGGGAAAGGAAGACCTAGGGCTGTGGAGAAGGGAGTGGTAGGCCCAAATTTGAGTGTTTCGGCATCTGGATCATTGAATATACCATCTGCACCTGTATATTATCCTACTGAGGATGAATTTAGAGACCCTTTGGAGTATATATATAAGATCAGGCCAGAGGCTGAGTTATATGGGATTTGTAGGATAGTTCCACCTAAGAACTGGAAACCCCCATTTGCTTTGGATTTGGATTCATTCACATTCCCCACGAAAACGCAAGCCATTCATCAGTTGCAGGTACGGCCTGCTTCGTGTGATTCCAAGACTTTTGAGTTGGAGTACAATAGGTTCTTGGAGGACCATTGTGGGAAGAAGTTGAGGAAGAAGGTGGTTTTTGAAGGGGAGGAGTTGGATTTGTGTAAGTTATTTAATGCTGCGAAGCGGTATGGAGGGTATGATAAGGTTGTGAAGGGGAAGAAGTGGGGCGAGGTTGCTCGTTTTGTGAGGCCAGCGAGAAAGATTTCGGAGTGTTCGAAGCATGTATTGTGTCAATTGTATCGGGACCATTTACATGATTATGAAAAGTATTATAATAAGCTGAACAAAGAGGTGGTTAGGAGTCGTAAAAGGGGTATGCATGAGGAGAAGAGGAGTGAACAAAATGTTGAATGTTCCAGCTCCAAAAGGAGGCGAACCCATAATGAGGGTGAGAAAGTTAAGGTCTGTAAGGTAGAGAAGGAGGATGAGGAGCATGATCAGATATGCGAACAATGCAGAAGTGGGTTGCACGGCGAAGTGATGCTTTTGTGTGACAGGTGCAATAAGGGGTGGCACATTCATTGTCTCTCTCCACCATTGAAACAGGTGCCGCCTGGGAATTGGTATTGTTTGGATTGCTTGAATTCAGACAAAGATAGTTTTGGTTTTGTGCCTGGTAAGCGTTTCTCGCTGGAAGTTTTTAGGCGTGTGGCTAATCGATCAAAGAGGAAATGGTTTGGGTCAGGATCTGCATCACGGGTTCAAATAGAGAAAAAGTTTTGGGAAATTGTGGAGGGTTCCATTGGTGAGGTTGAAGTTATGTATGGCAGTGACTTGGACACTTCTATTTATGGGAGCGGTTTTCCACGTGGAAATGATCAAAGACCAGAATCAGTTGAGGCCAAGATATGGGATGAATACTGTGGTAGCCCATGGAATCTGAATAACTTGCCCAAGTTGAAAGGGTCAGTGCTTAGAACTGTTCATCATAACATTGCTGGTGTTATGGTGCCTTGGCTGTATGTTGGGATGTTGTTCTCATCTTTTTGTTGGCATTTTGAAGATCATTGTTTTTACTCGATGAATTATTTGCACTGGTATGTATATCTTTGTATCTCATTCCTTTAATTATTATATTTGACTTGAGACAATTTTGGCTTCAGATGCATAATAAATTATCCAAGTAAGTTGCTTATTGGTGGCCTTGAGTTGTAAAGATGTCCACATTGTGTGGAGCAAGATGAGATGTCAACAGCTTGTGGTTTGTGTGTGTGTGATTGAGAGAAAGATATGTGGGGTCACCACATGAAATGCAGGAGCTTATAATAAGAAGAAAAAAAAGACAAAAAAAGAAAAAGAAAGGGAAGACGAGTAGACCTTCTTCCCCACACAGAACACAAAAAAGAGAAAAAAAAAAAACTCTTGTAGGATATAACCACAGAGAGGAAAAGAGACGTTTTTGGGAAACACATGTGCAGCACTTACATTTTATGTACACCTTTGGAAGTAATTTTTTAGCTATAATTATTCCCAATGTAGCATACAATCAACATTAGTGTAGATTCCTTGGTGAAATTGTTATTGCATTAAAGCATTTCCGGCGGACAAAATAACAATTTTTATTTATTACTTATATGAATAATGAAACAATCATCTAACCTCGGCTATGTCCTAGTATCATTGTGGTTGTCTTAGGGTGATAATGACACTATCGTTGTTTTTATTGTTAGTTCACTGATTAAGTAAAAAAATAATTTTGTATCTCTTGGCAAAGACATTTAATTGTTTCACTAGTTTTGTCAAATTTAGTATTTCACAGCTGAAGTTCTATATATGGTTATGACTTATGTGGCTTTGAGCTGTTTGAATACGTTAAGACTTTTTCATAACTCACAACTTTTCTTTAAAAAAATCTGAAAGAAATGGTAGGAAATCTTTTTGGTGTCTCTCCATGATGGATCAGTTTTTTCCTATTCTTCATGACAATCTATTGATGCTTTTATTAAAAAGGTTTCTGGCATGTCATCTTTCAAATTGACATTTCACTTTTAGCTATAAGATATTTTCCCCTTTACTTGAACTTATGGTGGATGATTTCAACTTTAGCTTTATTCAAAATTTGTATTCAGTTCCTTTATTTGTTCTCAGGGGGGAGCCAAAATGTTGGTACAGCGTCCCTGGTAGTGAAGCTAGTGCATTTGAGAAGGTAGCTCCATCTCTCTTTAAATTATTTGGAGGTTTGGTATTTGTTCTTAAGAATATCATTCTGTTTCTCTCATTCATGGTATCCTTCTTGTTTATGCTTGTTGCAATTCATTTTTGTATTCGTTTGAATTTCCAGAATTTATTATGTGGCAAGGGAATGAATTTGATTATATTTGATCCTACCTCTCATTACTTGCACAGCTCTCTTAATGTATCACCATTGTTTCCGTTGGTTCTTCATGTGCCATCAAAATAGTTGTTTCTTTCTGATGCTGAACCATGAACATATTTTGACTTGGTTTCTGTAGGTGATGCGTAACAGTCTTCCTGATCTTTTTGATGCACAACCTGATTTGCTCTTTCAGCTCGTCACCATGTTAAATCCATCTGTTTTGCAAGAGAATGGAGTTCCTGTTTATAGTGTATTACAGGTTTGAGCATTTTGTATTCTTTATCCTCAGTTAATGAAACCTTTTCTCCTTAATTAACAAAAAATTACTACAGAAGTTTAATAAACATTGCTAATTTCAGTTCTTCTCACAGAAGGATATGAAGGGGGAAACGATTGAAAACCTTCGTGGTTTTCGTGTGGGTAGATATTTCACTTATTAAGAAAGAATATTGCTAGAGATTTCCTTTATTTTTGTCCGCCCCTTTTTTGTCAACGAAAAGTGGTGAGGTCCTATTTGGACTTTTGAATTAAGAGCTTGTAAGGTTATTGATTTGTTTGCATTGCTACAGAAGTTACAATTAGGCATTGTGGCTTCGGGTTGTATGAACCAAAATATAATATCCCTGCCAATTTTGGCAATCTTTAAGTATGTGCAAAACAGTATTTACAGTTCTTCTTTAATTATATAGATATGTATTTTAAATTGATCATTGTATTTTTAGTAACTGTTGATGATTTATTGTTTTCCATCCTGATATGGTAATATTCTTACTTGCTCTCTGCTAGGAGCCTGGCAATTTTGTCATCACCTTCCCCAGATCTTACCATGGAGGTTTTAATCTTGGTATGCCAGATAGTGATCAGTTGACAGTGTGCAGTTAATTTAATATGCAGGGAATAACACTTTGGCTTTGGCTTTTTCAGGTTTGAATTGTGCAGAAGCTGTCAATTTTGCCCCTGCGGACTGGCTACCTCATGGTGGGTTTGGAGCAGGGCTGTATCAGCTTTATCGCAAAACTGCTGTTCTGTCTCACGAGGAGCTTGTTTGTGTGGTAGCCAAGGTTATTAGTTATCTGACAAGAAAATTTGCTTTTAGGTTCATGTAGAATTCAAATGATACTTGCTAAGAGTAAAAGGACTTGAAGATCCAATGTTTCTCTATACCCGTGCAAACAACAAAGCCTGAAACTAGCGTGTCAAAATCCATTGTTTGATTAATATTACCAATATTTCCTTGATGTTTTTTATCGTTTTTTCTAGAAACAACGGCCTTTGGGGCCAGTATGATTCAGTTTACGATGCTCTGAGATCTGTGTCAATACAAATATACTTTTCCATGTTCAGTTGTACAACTTTTTAAGTATATGTTATATAACATAGCAATAAATAATACAAGATAAATGCAAGGTCTGTTTGCTTGCCGATGAAATTTGTGTCAATACAGATATACTTTTCCATGTTTTTAACTTTATATTATATAACGTAGCAATAAATATTACAAGACAAATGCAAGGTCTGTTTGCTTGCCAATGAAATTTGTGACCAAGAACCTTTATTTTAGATCTATTGGTATATACATTGTATGTTAAAATTTTAAATTTGATGCTATCACAGGCTATAGTGTGTAGGTTGATGTTAATCTTCAGAAAGAACTCATAAAAGTTTGCAGACCTTTGCAGCTATAATATTTTGGAGTATCCCTTGGGTATGAAGCCGTAATAATGTGTTTTGAAGGCATAATGATGTTTGTTAGATAGTCAATGTACTTTGATAGAAAGCATTTTCGTGTTTTATTATCAAATGGTTTTGTTTTCCACTTGAAATTCTTTTCTTATGTGGCATTCAGTCATAGAAATGCTGCAGAGTAGTTGCCTTTTGTCATCATTGTATAAATTTGCTATTAATTGCTTGCTGCCTCCTTTTTAAGTTCAATGCTCCAGTCACCTAAGTGACTCGGACGTTTCATGCACTTAATCTTGTTTTTGGTTTATGCAGAGTGACTGTGACAGCAGAGTAACACCGTATTTGAAGAAAGAATTGACAAGAATTTACAGCAAGGAAAAAACCTGGAGGGAGCGCCTTTGGAGAAAAGGGATCATCAAATCATCTCTTATGTCCTCTAGGAAATGCCCTGAATATGTTGGTACCGAAGAGGTATTTCCCATAATGCAATCAGACCTAGTTTTTGGGCATAGCATGGTGAAAATTTGGTAATCTTCATATGATAATGATATTTCCTGCTGTTTTTGTAGGATCCTACGTGCATTATATGCAAACAATATCTTTATCTTTCTGCTGTTGTTTGTCGTTGTAGGCCATCCGCATTTGTATGTCTGGAGGTATGCGATTCTCAGACTCTGTTTAGAATTAATTTATGCAAACACAGTGTGGCCATAAGTTGTGTTCATAATCCATGCATATAAACCTTGCATGGGATCTTACTTTAAGAAAAGTTGGAATGAATAAGGATGTCTGTACAATAGTTTTAAGTTGATTGGGATGATGTAATGACAGACCAACAAAGATTACTCTTCAATTTTCAGTAACACTGTGTTTGGTAAGAAGGATGGAGAGGGTTCATCATGAGTAAGGGATAAAGGAAGGAAAGCAAAGATACATAGTTTCCCTTCTCTTGTTTAGCAGAAAGGAATGAAATAATAAAAATAAAATTTTACAGTGTACCCTCATTTAAATAGGTGGATTGAGGACAAGAGGGTAAAATCAACAAATTTCCCCCTCTCTCCCTTTCCCTATGCGCCCATAATTGGACTGCTGAAGTTTGGTGGGCTCAGAAGGGCAGTTCATCCCCTCACTTTTCCATCTATTGTCCTTTTTACCAAACCAATTGCAAAGGGTTTTCTTTTTGGAACTTTGATTAACTTTAAATAAAGTATAAGATAATATTATACATGCTTGTGGTTCTTTAATCTTTTAACATCCAAACAAAGATGTTGATGATATTTGTAATTAGATTTCCTCATTTTCTGGGGGTATTGGGTCCAACTGTTTTCTGTACCTCATTATATGTTTTACAGTTGATATCCATTATCTGCTCTCTAGAACCTGCTGTTGATGATCTTGTTTTCTTGTCCTTCTTAAGAATTCTCTTTTAGTACTTACTAAATTATTATGAAAATCAAATTATGAACATGGTTGGAAGTCTCTCTAAACTTGGTCTTTCCTTTTTGCAAGCTTGGTGCTATTCATGTGCTTTCTTCTCAATTGACTGAACATACTTGCCTTTTATGCAGCATTGGGAACACCTCTGTGAATGCAAATCCAGAAGACTTCGTGTTCTATATCGTCATACACTGGGTGAGTTGCATGACTTGGTGCTTGCAATGGATAAACATTGTTTCGAGGAGACAACAGAAAGTAGGACTTTAAGAAGGCAAATCTCATGCCCTGATGAACCAACTGCTTTGAAAAAAAAGGTTGACTTCTTTATCTCCAATAATCAATAATGTTCTGCTAATAGTTTATGATATCCTTTTGGTTTTTAATTTTAATCTATGTTTTTTCCTGAGCAAGCTCAGTATGATTGTTTTTATTCAACAAATGTGGTGCCCATGTTTTTGTATGTGGATTTTTTAGACTGCAATTTAGTCATCTGAGACCATGTAATGCATGTAGGTCAAAGGGGGCCATGCAACTTTTTCTCAACTTGCAGAAAAATGGCTTTTGCGCTCGTGTAAGATTTCTCAGAGTCCGTTTTCCAGAGATGAGTATGTTTCTGTATTAAAGGAGGCTGAACAATTTCTTTGGGCTGGTTCTGAGATGAATCCTGTGAGTGTTTAACTGATTTTTTCTTCTGTTACTTTTGAATTTTCACCTAGCAGAATGATGCTTATCTCCTTTTACTTCGGAATATAGGTGCGGGAAATGGCAAAAAATTTGATTCGATCTCAGAAATGGGCTGAAGGTGTAAGAGATTGTCTATCCAAAATTGAAACTTGGTCATCTCATTGTGGCAACGGTATAGAGAGAGCTCATTTGGAATATATTAATGAGTTGCTGAGTTTTGATGCGGTGCCCTGTTACGAGCCTGGTCATCTTAATTTGAAGGTTACAGTTTAGTGAGTGGTTGTAATTGTTATAATGTGCTTATCCTTGGCCTGCCAACTAAGACTCTTACCAGGGGTGTGATTATTTTATACAGAATTATGCTGAACAGGCAAGGGGGTTGATACAGGACATTGAGTCTGCTATGTCATCATGCCCAAAGGTATTTCTATTGCTTACTCTATTCTCTGAATATTTCATTTAACAGTATTTTAAAGATTCAGCTTTTTTTTGGGTCAAACCTGGACGTGAAGAAATTGTGCAGAGTCTGGTGTCTTCTGTACATTGACAGCACTATTCAATTATATTATGATATCTCATTTACTTATTTATAATTGATAAGAGTTTGTTGTTTACAATCGTCACTCCAGATATCTGAGTTGGAATTGCTGTACTCCAGAGCCTGTGAGTTTCCAATATATGTGAAGGAAAGTGAAAACTTACTACAAAGAATTTCGTCAGCAAAGGTAGTTTACTTTATTCAGACCTCAATTATAGTAAAGCCTGCCTGATACGCTTTTGTGTATCATGAGTTCACAATAATATAGCCGCTATAAAGTATTTTTAGTAGATTTTCTGAGTTATATGGAAAACTATTTAGAGTCTGGCTTCATTATTGCGGCAGGTCTTGATGGAAGGCATAAGAAATTGCATCTCAGAAAAACGTCCTGCTGCAATTGACGTTGATGTTGTTTACAAGTTGAAATTGGAGGTAATGATGACTATTACGTGCAGGTTTTTTTTATATGTTTATATATATTATGTTTCATTTTTATTTCTTATTTGAAATTTGAAGTTTTTTTTATTATTTTAGAATTTAGATTGCGATTGTATAATGTCTTTGGTTGTTAGGATAATAAATTTGAATCTAATAAACAGAGTTTGGAGCTCCAAGTTCAACTCCCAGATATAGAAAAGCTTTCGGATCTATTAGGGAAGGCTGAATCATGTCGTGCGCGATGTGGTGAAATTTTGAAGGATCATATTAGCCTAAAGGTTTGCCATATGGTTAATAAGTTACTCCAATCATTTGTGTGATATTCAAGTACTTGTACTTATGGAGATAGGGTTTCTGCAGGATGTTGAGGTGCTTCTTCAAGAGCTGGATGGTTTTACTGTTAACATACCAGAGCTGAAGCTTCTGAGTCAGTACCACACAGATGCAGTTTCTTGGATTTCTCGTTTTAATGCTGTTCTTGTGAGCAGTCATGAAAGGGAAGATCAAAATAATGCAGTTGATGAGTTAATGCTTATTCTAAAAGATGGAGCATCTTTGAGAATTAAAGGTTCTGGCATATATTAATTTTTTCAGTAGGGATATAAGGAAATAGATTTCTATTATTTCTGACCTTAGGTTTGTTTTTATCAGTTGATCAGTTGTCTTTAGTAGAGTGTGAGTTGAAGAAGGCTCGGTGCAGGGAAAAGGCGCTGAGGGTAAGTTACTATTAGTGTGTCTTTCATCTCCCTCGCTCCCCCTCCTTCCCCCCTGATTTTTTTTTTTACTTCTTTTTTAGTTTTTTGTGCCTGAATTTCAAATTAGACACTCAAATTACATAATTTACATGAAATATATGCAGATGCGAGATACTAAATTGTCTCTGGACTTCATTCAAGAAGTGATAATGGAGGCAGCAGTGTATGCTTCTTTACCTTGATGCCTTTTACAAGTTGGAGACTAAATGCAGTGGATTGTATAATATCTATGTTCTTGGTGTTTCTCTTTCAGGTTACATATTGAGGGAGAGAAGATATTCGTTGATATGTCCAAAGTACTGGATGCTGCCTTGCAATGGGAGGAAAGAGCAAAATATATTCTTGCACATGAGGCCCATATATCTGACTTTGAGGATGTCATTAGGTCCTTTACATGCTCTACATGTCCTTTTTTAGCATATTGGGGTTTGTGGATAAGTTCATTTTTTGTTTCTAATTATCAAGTGTGAATGTTGTAGGAGTTCGGAAGACATATATGTGAATTTACCTTCTCTCCTTGATGTCAAGGATACACTATCAAAAGCTATGGCCTGGTTGAGGAGCTCAGAGCCATTTTTGGTGACTTGTTCTCCTTTGGTACCTGCTTCAAGTTCTTTGCTGAATGTTGACACCTTGAAGGTTCTCGACGTCTCCTGTATGTTTTCTTTGCAAAAGATCAGTAGACCTAGAGTTGACAATATGCTTTGATGTTGCAGGAATTAGTTTCAGAGTCAAAGTGTATAAATGTATCTTTGAAAGAAAAAATGATGCTTGAGACTGTTCTAATGAACTGTGAGGAATGGAAGCATGATGCTTGCTCTCTACTGCAAGTTATAAGCTGCCTATTTGATATGAGGATCAGTGGTGATGGAATAAGAGATGGTCTTATTTCTAAGATTGAAAGTCTAGTTAAGAGAATAGAATCCATGGAGAACACTGGTTTATCTCTTGCTTTTGACTTTGACGAGCTTGCAAAACTTAAGGATGTGTGTTCTATGCTGCAATGGTGTAAGAAGGCACTTTCTTTCTGCTCGGATGCTCCTTCTTTTGAGGTGATACTTTTAAATCCAGCAATAACCAAGTTTTATGTCATGACTGTGCTCAACTTTGCATGAGTTCTCTATATCTTACCTACCTGAGTTAAGTTAATATGATGCTTAACTTTTAGTTGTGGCTTGGAGAACCACTTTTCCCATACATTTCTTACCAAACTCAACTTAAGACTGCTGGAAGAGTTCTCACCAGACTCATTATTATTCCCCTCATTTCCATGCTCGCTACTAACATCTAGCCATCTTTGAAGTGCTTGAAATTCATAATCCTTTTGGTCTCAAAATTTTTGCCATGTAGAGTATCTAAAAATGTAATTGGTTTTGAGCTTGAGGTATTTGTATTCAGTTTCCTATCTTTCTCTTTTTTCTTGCATCTCTTTATTGTTTTTCTTCTTAAAAACGGGAGATAACCAAATGCCCCCTAAATGAATGACTCTCCAAGTCCCAACCAACACAATCAAGTGATCAACTATACTTTTAGTACCAAGGCAATTAAAATGAACATAATTACAAGACACAAGTTGCTAAGCAAGAGTAAATACATATTGTGTTAACCAACTTAAAAAAATAAAAAATAAAAATCCGCGATTCTAATGCCACCTTGGTACTTATGGTGGAATTACATGGGTGCCACCTGCAGGCAGTAGGTTTTAAGTTTTTTTTTTTTTTTTTTTTTGGGTGGGCTGTGTTTTAATTGTATAGGCAAAGTTTATTTTTCTTCTGTATGTCAAA